CCCCAAGGTCTCTTGGTGAGCGGAGGTAGAGTCTAGGTGTAGACCAGGTGGGCCAATGTACTCTTGTTTGGCAGGTTTTTAAGTTTTCCATAGATTGAATCATTCTGTGCACAACTTTGCAATTTGTTCTTTTCACGTAGCATTATGTTTTTGAGATTTATCCGTATAGGTCTATTTCATCTTCTAGAATCTAAACTCCACGAGAGTAGGAATTGTTGTCTCCTTCAATCACTGCCTGGCCAGAGTAGATGCTCAATAAAAATCTGCTGAATGAATTCATTCTTTTTCCACCACCAAGCGGTCCATTGTGTTTGTGAGGCGGGTTCTCTAGGATAGATACCTAGAAATGAGACAGTTGGGTCCCAGGTAAGGGCATCCTTAATTTAGTAAAGGTTATTAGAATGACTTTCTGGAGAAGGTCTCCCAACAACTCATCACAGAATGTTCCAGGTCAAGGCAGAGTAAAACCTCAACCCCCCAGGGCCCCATATGTCTTACCTCCACCTGGCCAGCTCCCCGACCTCCCTTTCTACCACCCTCACCTTCATACACTGATTCCAGCCAAGACACACACACCTCCTTGCTCCACGGGAGACGGGCCAAGCCCCTCCCCACCTCTGGGCCGGCCCCCTGCTCTCTCCTCAGTCCCCTCATGGCTTGTTCTGGTCCCTGCTCTGTGCCATCCACTCGCTGGGGCTTCCCTGCTCCCCACCTCCCGCCAATCTCCTCCCTCCCTACCCTGCTTTCCTTTTTCTTTATAACATAGGACCCTGGCTGATAAACGTGTACGTTGTATGGACAGTGTGTGTGTGCCTCATCAGGGTGTGTTTCACGGTGGCAAAGATTTTGTCCGTCTTAGCCACTGCTGTTGTCAGTGTCTTGAATAGTGCTTGGCACTTGGCAGACGTTGGTGCATAGTTTTTGAATGAATGAATAATTCCAGGGAGTTTCAAAAGTACAGACATGATGAAACAAATCGAAATTTTGTATTAGTCTTTTTCCGTAGCACTCATACATAATCATCATATATTTGGTATTTTAAGGATTTGAAATGCTTAAGAGAACTTAGCATACTAGTATCTAACGGGAACTTTGTGAGTCTAATTTAAAATGTGAAATCGAATTGAGTAAACTTGTGATTTTAGGTTGAGATCTTACTAAACTTATAAATAGTACTAGGATATTTAAGAGAACTTGAGATTCAAAATATTACAAGTTTAATTTATTAGATTTATAAGATATATTTAAGTCTGTCAGATACTGTCAGGTTTGTCAGATAACTGAGATACTTACAAAGTAAATCAAATATATTAAATTTGTAAGTGCAGTTTAAAATGGTGAAGAGAATTTAATTATATTGTCTCTAAAAAGACCTGTAAAAGTTATTGTCAAAATTTGCTAGAGTTATAAAAAGAAAAATAAGATTTGTAAAATGAACTTAGTTTGAGGAAGAACAAGGTTTTTCAAATTTGTAATTTTCACTAGTCAAAAAAGAATTTTTCTGTTTGTTGGTGACAAAGCTCAGCCCTGAGCTAACATCTGTGCCAGTCTTCCTCTATTTTATGTGGGATGCCACCACAGCATGGCTTGACACACAGTGCTTGGTCCACGGCCGGGATCAGAACTTGTGAGCCCCTGGCCACCAAAGCAGAGTGTGCGAACTTAACTGCTACGCCAGGGGGACGGCCGCAGGAGGTAATTTTCTAAAGCGCTATCCAGAGGTCGAGTACTACTATTATTACAGATGAGATAACCGAGGGCCACCGGGATCTGGGGAGGCAGGCCCTTGGATGCACGCTGAGGGACCCCAGCATCCCAGCTCCCCACCTCGGGCCGCTCCCTCCACCTTGGACAGCTGCCTCTCTGCCCACTGTCCCTGGTGTCCTGTTAATGGGTCTGGGGCTGATAACTAGTAATAGTAACTAACAATTGGCTGGGGGCAAGGTCTATATGCTGACTCCTACAAGCCCTCTGTGAGGTTGTTATTATCCCTATTACAGACGAGGAAACTGAGGCATGTGGTCCCCGAGGTCTCTGGGCGAGTAGGAGCTGGAGTCTGGACCCAGCCTTGCACTCTGAGCAGCGGCTCTCACGTCTGCCTCTCTGAGGACATCTTGGTCTCTCTGGGAGCTTCCTGGGGGCCTTGGTGGCCTGGGGTGAAGGTCACTCAGTCCACAGAGGAGGCGCACCTGCCACCTGAAATGCCCCCTCTCCGCGCCTGTCCCTTCCTCCCCGTCTCCCCCTGAATCTGGTGTGTGTCTCTGAGTGTGTGCCTTCCTCTCATCATTCAGGTTAACCAGGTCACCAGGTGCCCTCCAGCCAGGCTCTGTCCACAGGCATCCCAGGGAAGGCAGCCCACTTGAGAAGGACTGTCCTCACTAGACAGCCTGTGCGCGACTCTCACACAGTCAGTCTGCAAAGGAGCAGCCCGGTGTGAGTACAGTTCTGACCACAGCAGGAGATGCAAAAATGATTCTGACAAGAAGTTTACGGTCTGAGCGCCCTGGCAGGGGTACAGCTGTCACACACACCACAGCTGGTGACACCTGGAGAGCACAGGGAGGGAAGAGTCATTTGTGGCCGGAGTGGCCCGGGCCCCACAGGGAGATGACCTGTGAGCTCGGCCTTAAAAGGAAGCCCAGTCAAGTTCAAATCTGGCCGCTCCTGAGCACACGTGTCCAAAGAGGGCTTTTGATTTTCAAATTTTACATCTGTCACCAGAAAAGCTCAAGTCTGAGCCATTTTGAGGGACGGGGGAAGATGTCCACAAATGACCCTGGATGCATCTTTTAAAAGACATAAATTTTTGCTCACAGGGTGGCGTTTTAGAGCGGGTGAGGCTGGTGATCTCAGAGATCCCACCTGCCTTACTCAGATCCTGAGTGCTAACACCTTCCTAAACTTCCAGGAGAAGGAGCAGGTAGACAGAAACACACTGTCCGGGGAGGTGCCCTCCGTGCGCAAGCGTTTTCATTTGAACTGTTTTGTTAAATTTTAACAATTGGGAAACTTGGAAAACTGCGCTACCCACTTCCTGGCGTTCCTCAAAGGAAGGGTACAGAATTTGTACAGAAACCCCAGTGATGCTGTAGGGTTACCACCACGGAGGCTGCGTGATTGTGTGCTGTGATGTGGGGACGACCCCAGGGCTGTGGTGCCTGGTGGGCTGTTGGCCCCCATTACAGGGCCCGGAGCTATTTGAAGTCTTTACTTCCAACCTTATTCTGTGTGTTGATTCATCCCAGCTTTGCCTTCTTCCTGTTCTCAGCCAGCACGTCTGCCCTGGCCTCCCTGGGGCTACTTCCACCTCTGCTGAGGGACCTGGAACCAGAGCCCCAGCTCATTCCAGCTCTGTGCCAGTTATCTCGCCACCAGCCGTGTCAACATCACTACACTTTTGCATTAGGTCGATGAGAGATGGAGGTGCAAGTGTTTTTTTGTTTGTCAATCTGGTGTGCAAATATATATATATACATATGCATATGACGTAATATACTTGTATAATATATAACGTGTGTATATATAGTTGCTGTTTTAATTTTCTTTTTCTTTAATTTTCGTTTTCTTGATAAGCACATTTTAATACGTGTGCCGACCTTTTACATTTCTCTTCTGTGGCTTGTCTGTCTGCCTGTTTTTCTGTTCTGTATCAATCGTAAACCCCTTTTGGAGAGCAATTTGTCAGTTTCTAGCAACACTTTAGAAGTATACATTCTTTGACCTAGAATTTGCTTCTAGAAACTTGTCTTACAGAAATGCTTACACATGTGCACAAAGATATACACGCTAGGATATTCGTTGCAGCAGCTTACAATGTGGGAAAACAGGAAATGACAGAGATGTCCATCGCTAGTGGAATGGGTAGGTAAATTACAGTATTTTCATACTATACAGTGCCCCCAAAATGAAGACCATCTATGTAGTCACAGAAAAAGCATAATCCAAAGTACTCAAGAAGAAACTTTATCTCTGCCTGAGCACCACGTGCTCGGTGTTCCCCTCTGGGAGGACCGTGCTGGTCAAGGGGAGGATGGAAACTTCCTCTGATGGTTCACTCTGTGCTTTTCTGTTAGTTTTCATCTTCTACAACACAAATTATTTGTGAAGTACTTGTGTTCTAAACAATTTTTTCAAGTAAAAAATATTCTATCTAAAGCCCTGCCACTTCAGGTGTGGTCCAGGGACTGGCAGCATGGCATCGGCTGGAGTAGGTTGCAAACGCAGAGTCTCGGGAGGGTCCTCAAGCCTGGACGCACAGCCCCCTGGAGAGCTTTACGCCCACGCTGAGGCGGGCCCACCCTGGGGTTCCTGATGGGCCTGGGTCTGTGGCAGGGCTGACCCTCTGCTCTAGCGTCTGTACGTGTAAGGTCAGCAGCGCGAGTGGGGCTGTGGGTGCCCTCCCAGAGGCCCAGGAGAGCCAGGGCAGGCCCTTGGGGCTGCTCTGTGGGTGTGGGGTTTTCGGCTTCCTGTTGGGTTTTCTGTGGTGTGGGATCTTTAGACCGCTGGATCAGTGAGCCCACTTTAAGCCAAGTCCTATCCTGAAAGACTACGTGTCCACACAGGATCACTCAGGAGTTGATTAACTGCATTTTAAAAACCTCCTCTAAGCACTTTGACGTTTCTTTCAATAGCAATCTCCCCTGGACATTATTTCTCAACATGAGGTCCACCACTTCAATGCCACTGCCACTGCAAATGGGCTGGTTCACCCGGGTCCAGTCTGGCCTGCTGGTGCTCTGATTTTGGGGGTGTGTTTTACGTTTTCCCAGATCCCAGAAATAGCCGAGCGTAGGTCTCATGTGAGGAAGGAGTCATGAACATTTTAAACAAAGCTTAGTCCCAGCATGCCCACTCCTGCGCGCACACGCTCTCCACATTCTTTGGGAAGCCCCAGGGTGTCAATTCCAGGAAGGTGTGTCTCACAGATGGAAATGTTTTCCTCATGCCTGAGGCTGTGCGGTGCAGGGTGTAACTTTGAAAATCCTAGATACCCTGCAAGATTCCACCAAGACTGAAATTTATTATTTTCCAGGAAATGTCCTCGGTGCGGTGATACAGGGCACAGGCTGTGTGGTGGGGGTCGGGGGAGAGACAAGCAGAAACAAAAGGCTGGCGGAGTGTGTGTAAGGCACTAAAAGACAGGGTCTGATGTCCTTGGAGCAGATGCGCCGAAGTGTAGGGTTCCATCCGGGGGTGGTGGCAACAGACATGGCCACAGACACAGGTGTTAATTGAGTCACATCTTCATCCATTTATCCATCCGTCCATCCATTCCTTTATTCAAAAAGTATTTATTTAGTGAACAGGACCGAAGAGTCTGGGCCCTATCAGTGTGGGATACGAGGAAGGGCTTCAGCTCAGGCCGTGGGTGGGGGAGGGGAGACTTTGAACCCAGATTTGGAGTGGGAAGCATCAAGGACAGTCTCCTGGAGGAAGTGACACCCAGGCCAGGCCCTGATAGCTGAGCAGGAGTTATTCTCCTTGGAGAGCCCAAGAGATGAGGTGGCCGGGGTTCCAGAAAGGGTGTGGCCCCTGCAAAGATCTGGAGGGGTCTTAGAGACCAGTGGAAGAGCTCAGAGGGAAGTCATGCCAGGCGGAGCAACTGGAGATAAGGAAAGGGACAGCACCGTGAGAAGGGCCCGTTTGGGGATGGCGGGGAACTCCACACAGCTGAAACAGGAGTGGCCAGGTGCAGGAAGGGGAGGGGAGGGGCTGGAGACAGGCCGGGCACTTCTGCAAGAGCCAGAAATCGAAGTCTCAGGCTGAGGAAGGGGGATGAAGGGTCCCCAACGAACAGGCAAATGGGATGCAGCAGAAGGTTAGGCAACAGCCAGACTCACTTGGAGGGCACTGAAGTCCCAAATCCATCTCCATCTGGGGTACAGCCTGCACGTGCCCCCCTCCCCAAGCTACAGAGGAGATGCAGGTGGGCGGGCCCCAAGTGAGCATTGTCCTGGAGGTCCCCACTTTGTACAGCCTCTGTTCAAGTACCACCTCTCCCCCACCACCCGCAAATATTTACATCCTGTTTATGCCGAGGCCTCCCAGGGCCTCCGTTTTCATGAATAAAATATGAGTTCCTAGGTCGAGCCAAGAAGGGAAGAAACCCCCACCAGCTGGTGGGGACCAGAGGCGGTTTAGTGTTTCGGTTGCTGTTGCCTCCCGAGTGATATTTGGAGGAAATTGGAATTAGCCGGTCAAGGTGACCCGGGCCGGGAGATTTGGCATTTTCTATACTCTCTGGTGTTCCTGGAACTAAACTGCTTGCAGGGCACATTCCCCGAGCTTTAGTCACAGGGCTGTTTCCTGAGAAGCTCTGACTTTCACTAGTTCATCCTTCCGAAATGTTCTAGTAGAGTCAGAGCATTTCACAGCTGAGCAATGACGTAGCTTGACGCCCTCCTTTCAAAGATGAGGAAACAAGGCTCAGAGGACGAGGGCTTGCCCAGGGCCACTTGGCTATTGGTGATGACCTGTCAGGGTTCCATGTCACCTGATCCAATATTCTTTCCACTGCATCACACTTCCTGCAAGTGCAAAATATTTAAATTAATAGACTGTATTTTCAGAACAGTTTTGGATTTACAGAAAATTAAGTAGATAATAGAGAATTCCCATATATCTATCCCCTTTCCTGGCACACAGTTCCCCCTATTATTAACATCTTACATGAATGTGGTACATTTATGACAATTAGTGAACAAATATTGATACAGTATTATTAAAGTCCATAGTTTACATTAAGTTCACTGTTTTTTCTTTCTTTCTTTTTTTTGGTGAGGAAGATTGGCCCTGAGCTAACACCTGTGCCAGTCTTCCTCTATTTTGTATGTGGGACGCCACCACAGTATGGCTTAATGAATGGGGTATAGGTCTGCACCAGGGATCCAAACCAGTGAAGCCCTGGCTGCTGAAGCAGGGCATCTGAACTTAACTACTATGCCTCTGGGCCAGCCCCTAAGTTCACACTTTATGTTAAACAGTTTTATGGGTTTTGACAAATGCATAATGTCCTGTATCCACCATTATAGTACCCGAAAAATCACCTGTGCTCCCCCATTCACTCCTTCTGCCTTCCCTCCCCCACCAGCCCCAGGCAACCACTAATCTTTTTACTTTCTCCCTGGTTAGGCCTTTCCCAGGGTGTTATAGAGTTGGCATCCTATAGTAGGTAGCCTTCTCAGAGTGGCTTCTTTCTCTTAGCAATATGCATCACATCCATTTTTTTAAGTTCCCACAGAAAATTCCCCATGAGTCATGGTGATCTTATAGGTTGGTGAATATTTCACATTCTTTGTCCAAATCGTGGTTCTTCCAAAGACGTGGAAAATTCCTGGAAAACGACACAAAATTCTTCTTTAATTACAATTATAGAAGGATGCAGCTTGGTGCCTGGACTTGCTTCTTTGAGCCTCACAGTTTTTTTTCTCTCTCGCTTTCTTTTTAAAAAAAATTTTCTGACTAACAATAATGTACAACTGAAATCTCACAAGGTTGTAATCTATCATAACATTAATAAAAAAAATAAAGAGCTTCTTTAAGGCAACGGAAAACAGGATTGAAACAAAAAAACAGCTCACTAATTGGGAAAAAATATTTACAAGCCACTTATCCGACAAAGGATTAATCTCCATAATATACAAAGAACTCACACAGCTTAACAACAAAAAAACAAACAACCCGATCAAAAAATGGGCAGAGGACATGAACAGACATTTCTCAAAAGAAGATATAAATATGGCCAATAGACACATGAAAAGATGTTCATCATCGCTAATCATCAGGGAAATGCAAATCAAAACTACACTAAGATACCACCTTACACCCGTTAGATTGGCAAAAATATCCAAAACCAAGAGCGACAAATGTTGGAGAGGTTGTGGAGAAAAAGGAACCCTCATACACTGTTGGTGGGAATGCAAACTGGTACAGCTACTATGGAAAACAGTATGGAGATTTCTCAAAAAGTTAAAAATAGAAATACCCTATGACCCAGCCATCCCATTACTGGGTATCTATCCTAAGAACCTGAAATCAGAAATCCCAAGAGTCCCTTGCACCCCTATGTTCATCGCAGCATTATTTACAATAGCCAAGACGTGGAACCAACCTACATGCCCAGAAACTGATGATTGGATAAAGAAGATATGGTATATATACACAATGCAATACTACTCAGCCATAAAAAAAGACAAAATTGGCCCATTCGCAGCAACGTGGATAGACCTCGAGGGTATTATGTTCATCGAAATAAGCCAGTCAGAGAAAGACAAACTCTATATGACTCCACTCATAGGTGGAAGATAACATATAGACAAGGAGAACTGATCGGTGGTTACCAGGGAAAAGGGGGGGTGGGGGGAGGGCACAAAGGGGGAAGAAGTGTACTCACAACATGACTAACAATAATGTACAACTGAAATCTCACAAGGTTGTAATCTATCATAACATTAATAAAAAAAAAAAAATTTTCACACCTAGATAAGGAGAACAGCTTAGTGGTTACCAGAGGGGAAGGGGGTAGGAGACGATGGAAGGGGTAAAGGGGCGGACACGTATGGTGACAGATAAAAACTAGACTATTGGTGGTGAACACGATGCAGGCTATACAGAAACTGAAATGGAATAATGTACGCCTGAAATTTACACAATGCTATAAGCCAATATGACCTCAATAAAGTAATTTAAAAAAAATAGACACCAAAGGTAAAAACAAATTTTTTCCACCTGAATTTTGTCTCATGAATTTTTCCTTCTCACTTCGTCCTGCTCTCTGGTCTGACCGGGCTCTGAAATCTCGGTGGGGCATGGGCTCCGGAGACGTTTTGTTTCTGTGGACGTCGAGTGTTTTCCTACACCGGGCTGTGTGCTAGAAACCGTTTCCTGCAACGCTTTGTTTAGTCTCTACAAGCCGTTAGTGAAGAAGTCTTTACTCCTGTTTAAGCCGGAGGGAACTGAGTGAGGCCCTGAGCCCCTTGCCCCAAGCCAGGCAGCCGGCTAGTGCCTCAGGGGGGCCTTGAACCCCATCCCGGGCCAGCCCAGGCCTTTAAACCTCCGCTGCTTCCTTGGGCAGGTCTTCATTTTAATTTTGATCCAAATAAAAACTGTCTCAAATTTCCCTGGTTTTCAGACTGGCGTGACAGAGTCAGTAACCTGAAGAAATACTTTTTATGGGAAAGAAAGTTCTGGTTTAGAACTGCCGGCGGAAAACAAAACAGGAAGTTGAACATTCCCGGCTTGGATGGACCATCTGGACTCCACTAGAGTTAGTCCTGCCAGAGACCGGGCTGTGCGCACCCCACCCTGGGCTGAGGGGAGAGAGGAAGGGGCTCAAGGTGGGCTGGATCTGCCCTCCCTCTGGGGTGGGAGTCAGGGTGGGGGGCGGGCGACATCCGAGCTGAAGCCAGGGCAGGGGAGAGAAGGAGAAGGTGAGCGCAGACCTCAGGGCTGTGGGTGGGATGAGTCAGCCTGGGGGCGTCTGTCTCTGGAGAGCCCGCCTGGCTGGGGCTGGGTTGGCCCTTGCTATGACAGGCACTGGAGTCACTCTCTCCCGGGGAGCCCGGTCCGTGTGCAAAGCCCTGGTAATCCTGCTCTGTGAGAGCATAATTACCGACCCCTACAAGTACTTACAGGGCACCAGGAACTATGTGAAGAGCCCTAGAGAAAACACCGTTTCATTTTGCTCTCCCAGAGAGGGAAACTGAGGCACAGAGCAGCGAAGGTCATTGTCTAAGGTCACACAGACAGTAAGCGGCAGGACTAGGATTCTAAGGGTGGCTGATGGTCCCCAGAGGCTGCGCTGCTTGGCCTTACAGCCTCTCTCTAGACAGACACCCCAGCCCTCCTGTGTGTCTGCTTTCCCAGGAAGTATCCATGTAGATGCGGCCCTCCAGGGCCAGTTCAACTGACCATCTTAGCAACTGAGGAATTGAGTGATTTTTTGAGAACTGAGGCCCCTTGTCCAGTTCAGGCCGGTTGAGACCACCAATCCATCAGCCGGGGCAGGGCAAGTGCTCAGCAAGTGACCTTTTTGATGTCAAGGAGCTGAAAACCCCCCCCTCAAATCCTGGTGATGCGGCCATCTTGTGAACATGTGTCCTGTGAGGAGCCATGAAGCTGGACTACGCCTGCGCAGATCGTCAATTTCCTCGCTCTCCTCACCTCCAGTCATCTATCCCCGCACTTCAGACCTCCTTGCCCCCTGCCCCATAAATATCCCTGAGTCCCTATTTTCAGGGAGGCCATCCGAGATTGATTTTCCTGTCTCCTCGCTTGCCTGTCTTGTGATGAAATCCTTTCTCTTTGCAAACTCGGTGGCTCGGTGAGTGTGGTAATCATGCAGCCGGCAAAACAAACTTGGTTGGGTAACATCCGGGACCAGGTCTGAGGTGTCATTTCATCTCCTACATGAGGCAAAAAAAGGAGGAACAGGGATGAAGGGGCCCGAGTGTCTGTGGCCCCAGTGTGGTTGGACGGTAGGAAAGAGCAGGAAGGAGTATTCTGAAGAACCAGCAACAGCCATGGGAGGGGGCTTCCTGGGGAAGCAGGATTCATGGATTCTTTCCCAGGCCCGGGCTCCTTGGGCTCAGGCCTCAAGGCTGAAAAGCTGGGGGGGCCCGTGGGGCAGTGCCCTCGCCACCCTCCACAGGCCCCCATCCAGGCAAGCATCACAGGGAAGCTGAGCCATCGGGCTAGAGGACAAATGGCCACATCCAGATTTTAGCAGACAGCTGGGATGTGACCCAGGTGGAAGGCAAGTCAAGGGGGTGCTGGCAGGGACCCTCACCTCCTGCTGGGGCCCCGCTGCTGCTGGGAAGGTCGAGGAGGTGAGGCAGGGCAGGCTCAAAGGGCACTGGGCACAGGTGGCCTGCCAAGCCAGGCCCACGAGCAGGGCCCAGGGGGCAGGAGGTCAGGCACCCGCAGGGACTGGTCCCTGGATCTAGGTCTCAGACTGAGCCGGCTGCGTGCAGCCGTCCACGTGTGAGCAGCCTATCTAAGTGGAGGGGCTTCACTTCCTACGTCCCTCTGCTTCCAGGCAGCTCTTTATCTTCTGGAAGCCTGCTGTGGGTTTCCCCATCTCGAGATCTCCAGAAGCTGGATCTTTCCAGAAGTTCCCTCTTTCATAAAATGAGGAAATTGGATTGAAATATTCCAAGGTCCTATAACATTCCAAATACTGTGAATTTGGTGTTGTTTCTACATTGGTTATTTAAGGCAAGTACTAAGCTTTACTAAGTTACTTTCCTTGGAAACTTGGATTAAAAATATATCTGCATTTTAAGTGCATAACCAGAACTTGTTATTTACCAATATTCTGAAATTACTTTGCAAAGCAAAGAATCATTTTGTAAAGGGAATCAACTTAATTTTATCTGGAAGAATAAAAAAGCGGCTACAGAGGAGAGCCATCCTGGAGCCCGGCCTCGCAGCGTGTGCTGACCAGGTTGTGACCGTGCACTGGCACCCTTGGGTGGCGTTTGCCATACTGTCACTGATTTTGTTTCTCTTAACCTTTCTGGGTTTTGTTCTTGTTGCAAAAGATTCAATTATTAAAGCACTGAGCACTATATGTTTATTTTATTAACTACTGAAAATGTGTAACATTAATCTCCATGGCCATGAGGTCTTTGGTTTATGATAATTTGCCCAAGAAATTTTCTTTAAGGAAAAAAATTGGCCCTGTAAGGGGGAGGGCATTCTATGTTGGGATCCATATGCGGCTTCTTTTGGACAAAGAGCCATGTTGCTAAAAAGTCAATGGCACCAAAGAAAAAGATGATCAATTTGAGTACATTAATAGTAAAAACTTCTGGCCATTCCCAGACACGATACACAAAGTCAAATGGCAAGCCACAAACCGGAAGAGGTCTTGGCAGTTCTTGCAACTGATGAAGGAATTGTACCTCGGATAAGTAAACAATCCTGCAAATCATCAAGAAAAAAGCAAACCACCCAAAAGAAAGTGGGCGAGTGCACGGATAAGCGTTCACAGAAGAGAGTCACAACCCGCAAGCTTCTGCAAGAAGCCCGACCCCATTCGTTGTCAGATTTTGCTGGTTTGTCTGGTTTTGTTTTTCACAATGACTGGACCAGCAAAAATGAAAAGATCTGAGGAAACAAAGTGTCATCATGGATACCGGACAGAAAGCACTTATCTTCTGCTGTGGGAATGGACATAGGAAGAACCCCTTGGGAGTAACTTTGATGTTGTGCAGCAAGGTGAAGGCACATGTCCCCCGGACTCAGTAATTCCTCCAAGATGTGCAACCGGGAGACAGCGGTGCAACGAGCACCACGAGGCGGGGGCAAAACAGCAAAAATAGATCAGAACCGAGGAAGACCCCAAAGTAGAAACAACCCAAAGTTGCATCAACAGGAGACAGGGTGAGTACGCTGAGGGACGGCACACGCGGAACCCTGTGTGCCCTCGTCTATGTGGACGGGTCCCCGACGACGTGCTGGGCAGTGCAGGCGACTCTCAGAATGCCTGGAGCTCCGTTCTGTGGACGTGCAGAACAAACGCAGCATTGTCCGAGGGGTTTGTACATAGAAAGCAAAGCAAAGCAAAGGAGGAAAACCAAATTTGAGAAAGCGGTTACCTCTGGGGAGGGGACAGGATGGGGCAGTGCCTGTAGGGGCTTCAAAGGTCCTGGGAACGTTATTTCTTAAGCCAGGTGTGCTTAACATAGGCGTTCTTTCTCTTTTCTTTAAGTTGCCTATAGATGTGCTTTAGATGAGTGATATTTTATAATCAAAACCAAAAGCATTTCCCACACACCTCCCTACCCAACCATCTTATGAACCAAGGACCAGAGTGGTGGGGGTAGCAACCTGCCCAAAGTCACACAGGGAGCTGGGGGCAGAGCCCAGGATTCCACCCCTGGCCCCACCCTGATCCAGAGGCCCCCATCCTAGCCCCACGCTGACCCTCAGACCCCGCCCCCACTGTAGGAACAGTTCCCTCTGCGTTTCCCTCACTCACACATGATGCTTTCCTTCTCTTCTGAAGCCAGGTGTGTGCGTTTTCCACACCAAGCAATTCTTTGCCACACCAGCCAGGTGTCCTAGAATTTAATTCAATTCTGAGGGGCCGGCCCCGTGGCTGAGTGGTTAAGTTCATGCGCTCCACTGTGGTGGCCTGGGGTTTCTCAGCTTCGGATCCTGGGTGCGGACATGGCACCGCTTGTCAGGCCACGCTGAGGTGGCATCCCACATGCCACAACTAAGAATATACAACTATGTACTGGGGGTCTTTGGGGAGGAAAAGGAAAAGAATAAAATCTTTAGAAAAAAAATAATAATTCCATTCTGACACTATCTACCCAGAGTTCGTGTGGACCCCACAGGTTAAGGGCTCAGTCCCCCAAGACTGCCTCTGTCTCCCCACCCCTCAGACGCCAGTCACAAGTCCAGGTTGTCACCTGGGCTGAACCAACCCACTGCATATCGGAGGTTCCCATGACCCCCTCCTTGGGTTCAGTCATTTGCTAGAACAGCTCACAGAGCTCAGGGAAATACTTATTTATGTTCACTGTTTTATTACATGATAAAGGATATGATAAAGGATACAGATGAACAGCCAGATGAAGGGATACAAGGGCGAGGTCTGGAAGGTTCCAAGAACAGGAGCTTCTGTCCCTGTGGAGTTGGGGTGCGGCACCCTCCAGGCACATGGACGTGTTCACCAACCTGAAAGCTCTCCGCACCCCTGACTACTGGGGTTTTACAGAGGCTTCACCACGTAAGTGGGATGGATCCTTAACTCCATTTCCAGCCCCTCTCCCCTTCCCAGAAGATGATGGGTGGGGCTGCACGTTCCAAGCCTTTAATCACGGTTTGGTCTTTCTGGTGACCAGCCCCCACCCAGGAGCCCACCAAGAGTCACCTCATTAGACAGAAGATGCTCCTCTCACCCAGGAAATTCCAAGGGATTTTGGAGCTCTGAGTCAAGAACTGGGGTCAAAGACCAAATATCAGAACAAAAGATGCTCCTAGTCCTCTTATCACATAGGAGTTTTAGGAGTTCTGTGCCAGGAATGGAGATAGAGACCAATATACGCATTTTCTGTTTCTCACAACCACTCATCCCCACCCTGATGTAGAGACTCCTCCCCCACCCAAAGACTCCCCTGCTGCATCCCACCCCCACCCTGGCCCCAAAGCCCTGCTGTGACCCTGGTCTGGGGGTTTCCAGGAGGCTCCAGAGAGGAGTCAGTGACTGGGGAGTCAGTCACATGGGGGTCAGTGTGCAGATTCCAAACCCAGGGCAAAGGGGCCAGAGGGTGAAGCAGTTTCCTGCTGGGGAACTGTCCCTGGGGCACCTTACTTGTGGGGAGAGGCGGCCTTGAGCCGGCCCCTGGCTCTCTTCTCTGGGCCTCAGGCAGACATCTTTGTGGCCAGAAAACTCGGGAGACTGCAGCTCAGGCTGGGCGTGGGCAGGTGGGCCCCTGCGATTCACTGGGTGGAGGATGCTGTTTGGGAGACAATGCTGGGTGGCCTCTTGCAGATGATACCTGAGGCGGGCTCGGTGAGCCGAGGAGTCGACAGAAAGATTTCTTGGACTCTCAAGGTCTGGCAGTAGTGGTCTTTTATTCAGAGAATAGCATGGAGTAGCATGGAGACAGGACCCACAGGCAGTAAGAGCTGCAAACATGGGTTGACAGTAGGGCTAAATTTAAGGCATAGGTATGTGAGTTATCTCTTTACAAGACAAAAGAACGATTATGTAAAAAAAAAAGTTGTTAAAATGGTGTCAGTGTAAGTGGGATCTGGTTATTGGGTGGTCCTATAACTTTGGATAGGAATCAGATGGGCTCAAGTCAGGATGTCCTATGCTTCCTGGAGGATGATATAGATTGGTACGTAGGGCAGGGCTTCTCCCCCTGGGACAGGGGCAGCCTCGATCCTCATCAATACCCTCTTAATTTGTGGCAGCCCCTCTGACCTCCTCCGGGGTCTCAGGAATGTCAAGTTCAGTGTCTGCTGAGAGGACAGGGTTGCAGGGAGGAAGAGGATCATGCAGGAGGGGCTGTGGGATCTGGCTCCTGTCAGCATCCTTCCTGCGCAGACTGGGAGCACCCTCGGCTGACGCAGGGCCCCAGCCCTGTGACTTTGTGAGGAGTGCTGGAGCGGAGCTTGACCAAAATAGAAAAAGGAGCAGCGGTGGTGTGATGGGGAAACCGAGGCAGGAGGCAGTTAGGTCTCCTGCCCAGGGCCCCAGGGAGGGTTTGTGCAAAGGCTGCTTTCAGCTCTCCCAGGCTGGAGGAGAGGAGCCAGCCGCTGATGACATTCACAGACACCCTCCCTCCTGCCAAAGACAAAGAAGGCTCACGCACCCGCCCCCCCTTCCTTGCTCAGTCTTTGATCTGAGCTGACGCTCCGGGCTGACATCTCTGCTTCTGCCTCTCCTGGCTCAAGTAACGTGAAAGGACCATGTGACAATGCTTTGCACAGAAGGAGCCCCACTACCCTGAGTTTCCTGGCACACGGGCCCTCTTCTGAGCCCCACAGCTGAGGGTTAGACGTGGCCCCGTCAGAGCGCAGACGGCTTTTCACTGGGTCTCTGTCCCCGTGTGTGGAGGCAGAGCCTGTCATTCCCATTTTGCAGACAAGGACACTGGGATGTGAGTCCCTCATCCAGGGTCATGCAGCTAGTACACTGCATGCAGCTCGAGGTCGCACCAGGTCTGTGGCCTCCGGAGCCTGTGCCTCTTTCTTCCACCACACGCCTCCTCCCCAGCACCACTTCTCTCAAGTGAAGGGTGTACAGGCATCACTGTTACCGTGACCGGAGGGACGCCCGGCCGGGTGCTCCCCACCCCTGATGAGGACCCCTCGGAATCATCCCTCTTTACGGCACCACCTTCGGATGCAGCCTCCAGAGGGCCACCGGACGGGTGTGAGATTCTAACACCACATCCCTCCAGGAGCAGGGGGAGAATGCAGATTTCACAGAAGGCAGCAGGCTTGGAAGAACAAGTGTGTCCTTGTCCCCGGCCCTGCCAAGCTGGGCTAATTACCGCTCAGGCCACTGGGAGCTTTTTCCCAGGCAGCTGAGATCCACCCTTCACCCCAACTGTAGGCATCAGTGGCTGGGGACCCTCCTCTTGCTGGGAGGAGGTGGGAGCCCAGAATGTGAGGGTCCTGTCCTCAACAACTTGCTCTTTCTCAGCCCACACCCTGCCAGGAGTTGAGGCCATGTGGCTGAGCCACCATACTTGCTTCAGGCTCCGTCCACGTGGCCACTGCCCAGCCTCTCCTCCCCAGCCGCCTTGCTCCTCCCCCGTCACCACACTGGCCCTGTGTGGCCTGGGGAGCCAGGCTTCAGGTCTAAAATTCATGTCCCTCCCCTGCCTAGAACCCTTCAGGGCTCCCTATTGCCCTTAGAAAAAAAGCCCAACTCCACAGCCCAGCTGCATGAGGCCCACCCCGACCGAGGCCTGCTGCCCCTCCACCATCATCTCAGCCCCGGCTCCCTGGTGCTCTGGTGGCCTGAGCTCTTCAAGGTTCCTCCCAGTATCACCTTCAGGCTGCCCCCTCTGCCTGCCACACTCTTATCTTTCAAGACACATCTGGGCTGTCACCTTCCCCAGGAATCTACCCTTGGCCCTCCACATTAAGAATTAGATGCGGCCTTGGGGCTGGCCCGGTGGCACAGTGGTTAAGTTCACATGTTCTGCTTTGGCAGCCCGGGGTTTGCAGGTTCGTATCCTGGGTGCGGACATGGCACTGCTTGACAAGCCATGCTGTGGTAGGCGTCCCACGTATAAAGTAGAGGAGGATGGGCATGGATGTTAGCTCAGGGCCAGTCTTTCTTAGCAAAAAGAGGAGGATTGACAGCAGATGTTAGCTCAGGGCTGATCTTCCTCAAAAAAAAAAAAAGAATTAGACGTAGCCCAGAGCACCCTGCCCATCCAACTTCAGCAGAGCTCTTTCTGCTTTATAGTGTATGTATGTATCTGTGTATGTGTGTTTTCAAAGGAACTTTGTAGCCACACACTGGGCAGAAAAGGGGCTAAATGATTTAAAAGCAGTAAAAGGGGTTTTGTTCCTAGGACACCAGTAGTTTGAATATGAGCTCTGACTTTGTATATTATACTTACGTGGACCACATCTGTGGAGTGAAGGGGCAGTTTATGATTGATGAAGCCACAGGGGTAAGCCATAGGGAAAGGAGGCTGCTGTTTTTAGGAGGGCTGATGGCTTCCCTAATGGTACTTTATCTAATGGTGCTTTAGCTTTCCTTGCTGAAAAGTGACAGGCGTTGGACAAATGCCCTCCCAGCCTCTCCTCAAACATCCGGCTTACAGACACTGGGGGCACAATGATACCCAGGGCTTAGGGGGCCCCAGAAGGTGGGGGGCAGGGCATGGAAGTGTTGGTCCAAGAAAAGCCAGACTGGGCAGTGCAAGTCTATCAGAAAGCCGAGGTGGCCGAGAGCCTGGGGGTGGGGGGGAGGGGCCAGGAAAGTCACCCACCTGGGCCTCTAGGCCAGAGTGAGTCTCCTTAGGACACTGGTTCCCAAACCTTCCAGGAACATCTGCCAACCTGGACCAAGCATTCCTCCGTCAGCTGCAAAGTGGTGAACAAAACAAGAATTTTCCAGAAGGCCAGATTTATTTAATTTAAAGGGTTGTCCTTTATTCCAAAATGATGCTCTTACCTTTACTGAGTGCTAAAACGTCCTTCCTTCATGGGAAATGATGGCAATAACAGTCATTTTCCCAGAGTCTCTTCCTGGTAAAATCACAGCCTGGTAACATTTTGTCAGTCTCTGGTTTTGTGTTTGGGCGGGGGTCACTGGTGACTGGTGTGACTTCTCAGAAGGACCCGAAAGACCCCAAAGAGACGTCCCCTGAGAAAGTGCAGCCTTGTGAGGGGCAGGCAGCCCCGGAGGGAGCAGGCCCAGCAGGCAGTGTCCCGGGGAGAAAGGCACTGGCAGCGTCCCCAGGCCAAAGGCTCTCGGAGACACGGAACAAACCTACTTCCAGGGTGTGTCACCACGCAGCCAAGTGACGCAACACACAGATGTGCAAACGTGGGGACTGGAGAGGAGGGGTAAATGAGGAACAGCAGCTGTGAAGGAAGGCCTGGAGGCTGGAAACCGAGCGCCCACAGAGGAGTCCTGTGGCCAGCACCTTCTAGAGACTTCCCTGGGCAAGAGGAGGCGGGACACCTGCAGCCCAGCTCAGGACCCAAGGAGGAAGTGACCCCCGGGGGGTGGAGGCCACAAGCACCTCAGGCCTCTTCCCCGAGGATTTCCACCCCAGCAGCAAAGTCTTGTGACACGTGTCCACCTCACTCTCAGTGAGCGTGGGTGTTGTCCACCCACAGAGGGGTGGCCTCCTCCCTCTGCGTCACCCCGTTTCCAGGGCCCCCGGTGGAAGAAGCCCATTCGGGAGACACCCACGGAGAAGCAACCCACCTGATCAGGCCTCAGCTGAGGATTGGTGTCACCTGTGAAGCCAGTACCTGAGGGTTCCTGTAAATGTTCAATAAGAACATGATGACCCTTCGACCTTGTTCCCAACCCAGACACACATGAAAAGATGTTAACGTTGTTAATTTGCTGTTTCATTGTTTAACCTGAGGGGTGACTCAAGGGTCACAAGGATTTACGAGATTGGTTGTTTTGGGGGGTTTTTTTTGAGGAATATTAGGCCTGAGCTAACATCGGTGCCCATCTTCCTCTACTTTATATGTGGGACTCCTGCCACAGCATGGCTTGACAAGTGGTGCATAGATCCATGCCCAGGATCGGAACCAGCCAACCCGGGGCCCGGAAGCAGAGCTGCGAACTCCACCACTACACCAGGGGCTGGCCCCTATGAGCTTGTTTTGCAAAAGAAAAATAATGCCTTTAAGGAGGCTACGACCACCAGAGAACCAGCCCCCAGATGACCCCAGAAGTCCGGTTGCCCGGGGTCATATCTGAGGTGAAAGAAACACAGACTTCCCCTTCGTTTCTCCAAAACTCCTCCTGCCGAGCCCCTTAGCTCTGTAAAACTCCCTGCTTTCTTCGTTTTTTTTTTTTAAAGATTTTATTTTTTTTCCTTTTTCTCCCCAAAGCCCCCCAGTACATAGTCGTATATTCTTCATTGTGGGTCCTTCTAGTTGTGGCATGTGGGACGCTGCCTCAGTGTGGTTTCATGAGCAGTGCCATGTCCGTGCCCAGGATTCGAACCAACGAAACACTGGGCCACCTGCAGCGGAGCGTGAGAACTTAACCACTCGTCCACGGGGCCACCCCCTGCTTTCTTCTTTTCTTAAGGCAGATTTGAGAGAACCTATCCCCCAGCATCCTTGTTTTGGCCAATTCGAATAGCAGTTTCTCCGTCTCCAAGCACTGACGTCTCAGTGTTTGACTTACTGCACATCAAGCACACGAACCTGAGACCAAGAGGTTGGGTATCACCTAGACTGTCAAGCGGCCCTGCTGCCCACTCACGGCCACCACTTCATCTGAGAGGCAGGAACCGTAGGGATTAAGACACTGGCTCTGGCCCTGGGCAGCCCGGCTCCCACACAGCTGCTCCCTACCTGCCGAGTGAAGCTGGACGAGTTTCGGACCCTCCTCTGTGGAGGGGGCAGGTAACAGGCCCTGCTCACAGGTGTCCTGAGAATGACATGAGTTTATAGGATCTCAGGTGCTTATAACAGTGCCTGGCATACAGTAGGCCATAAACGCAGCACACCGTGGGCACTCAACATGTGCGCGTGGAACTGGCGCATCGTGTACAGCATCTCCTCCCGTGTCACTCAGTTCAGTCACCCTGGGGAGGAGGCAGGTCTCCCACATCACCTGACCCAGATCATAGAGCGGCAGGGGCAGAGCTCGGATTGGAGTTCAAGGTGCATCTCCCTGCCCTCTCCTCGCCTGCGGGAGAGAGCTCAGCTCTGAAGCCCGGCAGCCTGGCTAGCCTTGCACTCACGAGCTGTGCGACCTTGGGAACGTCCCTTAACCTCTCTGTGGTTTCCTCCCCTCTAAAACGACATAATAATCACGCCAGCTCTTAGAGTGGTTGTCGAGGATCACAGGAGTTAATACCGAGAGACTAGATATAAAAACGGACGACGGCCAGACGATAGATAAAAAAAAATCGACCAGGCTGGCCCTGTGGCGCAGGGGTTAAGTTCACACGTTCCGCTTTGGCAGCCCGGGGTTCGCTGGTTTGGATCCCGGGTGCAGACATGGCACTGCCTGGCACGCCATGCTGTGGCAGGCATCCCACATATAAAGTGGAGGAAGATGGGCACGGATGTTAGCTCAGGGCCAGGCTTCCTCAGCAAAAAAGAGGAGGACTGGCAGTAGACGTTAGCTCATCTTCCTCAAAAAAACAACAAAAAAAGAATCAAGCCACGATCTGCAGCCCCAGTCCAGGAAGGCAAATGATAACTCCTAAAGCAATCAGCCCCAGATGGCCAAGACCCCGTCATTAACTGCCAGCTTCCCAAATTTTTGCATCCACTTCCAACTTAAGACCAACCGGAAAAGGGCAGATGTGTTCCCCTTGCCCGTCACAGAGATGGTGTCCATCCCGCTTCTACTCGTCCCGCCTCCAGCTGCCTGTGCCAGCAGCCTCCGATCGCTACCGTGCCTTCCCTTTTGCCCACTCTGAAGCTCTCCCGCTCCTGCCCGCCTGAGAGTCTGCCAAGCGCAGGGATGGCGGCTAAAGCCCTGGCTGCAGCACGCTCTGAGTAAACTGCCTTTGATCCTTCTCATCTGAGTGGTCTCTGTTTATTTCCGCCATCCGTACAAAGTTCTTAGCTTGAGACCTTCCCTATAATAATGTTACTGCACAAAATTGGGGTTCTACCCAACGTGCATAAAAAAACTGATTAATTACAGCATCAGCTTTTGGGAAAACAAGTCAGCTTTATTTTGTGAGATCTATCTGCGAGGAGGCAGGGGCACATTGCTCTCAGATCTGTCTCCCTGATCCAGGGCAGAACCCCAATTTTATGCAGTAACAATAAACCCTCAGAAATGCCAGCTTTTGTTCACTCTGCAAGCCCTTAGGAAATCAGAGAGGCTGCATGGGAAAAGCCCCCGGGACCTTGAAACCCCCAATAGGGTGAAGCGCCAGGTTACCCAGTAGCAGAGAGCTTCCTTCCTGGGCTCTCTCACCAGGGGCTCCACCAACCAGAGGGAGGGGCCACGACTGGGCTCAGGCGGAGTCTGAGCATTTGAAAGTCAGGGTGTGGCCTTCGGAGTGAGGCCTCAGCCGATATCTCCATGGCGATGTCACTCCCAGCTCAAGGCCAAGACAACACCAAACCATCCTATTTTGTGTTTTTAACAGAAACACACACCCCAACAATCCATGGCTTTGGGTGTAAGTTTCTTTTGTTCTAGAACTCACACAGGCTGCTTGCAGGAGAATGCAGAAAAGAGGAGAGGAAAGTCCCACGGACACCCCACCCAAAGCCCACCACGGTTACCAGCTTCATCTCAACGTTGAGATGCGTGTCCATCATTTCATGACGTGCATTTTTAATTGGCATAACACAAGAGTGTTTCCCATGTTATTACAAATGCCTTGTAAACAGCAATTCGGAGGCTATAAAATAACCCATCACGTGGCTGTCTAGTTGGTCCTAAAAACAAATAAACAATAGAAAGCATCTCAGAGAGGCAGCGACCTGCAGGGCAGCCAGGCCTCTCCCGTGGCTGCCATACCACAGGCCCCCGAGAGCTCTGCCCGGCCCCCAGTCATTCGTACTCTTTCCATGAAAACCCCCCTCTTATGGGGCTGCCATCACGGCAGGCTGGTGTCAGCAAGAAAATGGCCAAACCAGCACTTTCTGTGGAGACAAAAGGCCTGGGTGAGAGGTCGCCTGGGAAGCCCCCTCCCTCGTCCTCCCCACCTACCCCCCATCCCCAGGCCTAAGGCCCCGGGCATCACGCCCAGCTCCACCCTCCACATCTATGGCATTCAGTTGGCTGCAGGAAGCTGAAAACCCAATGTACACCTCAACAAGATAGAATCGCAACCTGTTCTCACCTGAATAAGCCTGGCAGCAGCCAGGGCGGAGGGGGCTCCTCTCCTGTGGGTCGTCCCTCTGAGGCTCTGCCCCTTGAGTTCAGGTGAGGGGAAGCTGGGACCACACATGCACTGCTGCTCTGAATAACACCATGGGCTGTCAGGGAGGGACGGGGCCCTGGGGGTCAGGGGTGGGCAGAGGGCAGGAGGGGCCCGCACAGCACAGGTGAGCTCAGGAGCCTCACAGCGCCTGGTAAATCCTTGCCTTTTTTTGACCTCAGTTTCCCCTTCTGTGCAAGGAGGGGCCGGGACCAAATGATGGCTTAGTTTCCAAAAAAGAACTTTCTTGGTCCACCCCTGAGGGGCTGAGGGGATGAGGTCCCGGGAACTTTGGCTGTTTTCTTGGTTCCAGAAGCCTCCGGGTCAAAGAAGGGAGAGGTGCCCCCAGGGCCCAGGCGCCATTTGGCTCAGTCAGAAATCCCCAGGTGGGTGACACACCCTCTGCTGCACCCCACCTACAGCTGTCTTTTCTGAGCTCTCTCCCCTGCCCTAGAACCCAGGTGCACAGACCAGGAGGGACTTCAAGGGGTCTGTGAACTACCGGAACCCGTCTGCAAAACTCTGCGTGTGTGTGTGTGTGTGTGCGTGTGTGTATGCACACATGTATGTGGGTAAGCATAGTGCATGTTTCTGGGGAGGGGCTCCACAGATTTCAGTCTCAAAGGGGTGTGCGCCCCTAAAAGCTTAAGAACCTCCTTTGCTGTTCCCCCTCCCCCACGAGTGGCCAGGAGAACATTCTGAATTGCTTCTGATTGGGTCCCACCTGCTTTCCATCATCAGGACCCCCAGGGCCTTCGCAGCCATCCTGGGCTCCCCGCCACCACCCACTAATTCCCAGGGAGAGAGGAGTGTGGCAGACGCCTAGGAAGAGAGCGACCTGCAGAAGGCGCGCCCTCCGCTCTCTGTGCTCCCTCTGCTCTGCAGGGATCGAAGGCACTCTTAGAGGTCACCCCCTCACGGGGAAAACCCCACTCCTCGTACCACTCAAGTCCTTCTGTGACCTTGCTCTTGGAGAAAAAGTTCTTATTTCTTGAATGCTAACTGCGTCTAGGCACCGTTTGTTCTCAGCACTTCACAGATTGACATATGGAACCTTGATAACCTTCAGAGGTAGTCTATTACTGGCTCCATTTTATAGATGGGAAACTGAGGCCCAGACTGTGCTGCCCATCAGCTGGTGGGTGATGGATTCTTACCCCTGCACTGTGCCTTGGGTCTTCTCTCTTAACAACCAGACCGCCGTCCATCCCAGTCACGAGGAACGACCGGCTCCCCGTTTCCTGAACACAGCCCTCTCCACCTCAAATCCCCTCCCTTCCCATCAGGTTGACACCTCCTCCGGAAGCCTGCTCTCCTCCAGGCTCACTCTGCACCCTCCTCTCCCAGCTTGATCTTCAGGTCTGGCTGTCCCCACCAGCTGGGGACCTCCTCAGGGCGGCCTAGTGCCCACCTCCATCATTGTACCTTTACATGTTGGCTGAACTGAAGTGAACACTATCCCCAGTGTACAGGTGGGGACCTGAGTTCCAGAGGTTAACTCATTTCTCAGAGATGATGGACACCAGGCAGTGGAGGGATGGTCATGGCAACTTAGGACATTCATTCATTCAACAATTCATTCATTCAACTGACTGTCCCACCCTCAGCCAGGCACTGTGCTGGGTGCCTTAGGGGATACAAACAAGACAGTCTGGTGCTACCCTCTGGGGCGACTCACTGTGAGGACCACACCTCCCCCAACACACCCACATTCCACACTCGAGGGAAATGGAGGTGAATTCCAGCTGGGCTTCCAAGGGGATGGACGATTTGTTCAACAGAGCAGGGGGGAGGGCACTATTGGAAGAGCCAGCAAGGGCAAAGTCTGGGAGCTTAGCTTATCAAGGGGAGAAAAGGGGAAACAAAGGCACAGAGGTCAACCACAGCCCCGGCACCTACAGGTGTTGGGATTTGGTTACTTCTCATCCCTGGGCTGCCGCTTAGCCTCTGCCTCCCCATCCGTGGGGGCCCGGGCAGCTCTGCGATATCCTGTGATACGCAGGAGACAGATCCTGCCCCCGGGGAGGAGGGTGCAGGGCTCATTGTATCTTGGGTACCACTTTTTCCAAGGACGCGCTGGGAACAAATCACCAAAACACCCGTTTCATTTATCCGCACCCGCTTTGGTCCCAGGACAGCTCAGTAAGACCTGGAGTTCGGACCTCGGCTACCCTGCCCCCTCCTCATCCCTTCCTGTCCAGTCCAACGTCACCTCCTCCAGGAAGCCTTCCCGGAAACTTCAGGAACCTCCCATCCCTCCCCCCAGCTTCTAGCTCTCCCAATGGTCTGCAGCATCCTGGTGAGCAGAGCAAGCCTGAAGGATGCTGTTTCACGAAACACGACTGAAGCGCCAATAGGCGCCCAGCGCTGGGGTGGGTGGGGCCGCACCCCGGCCGCGGGAGGGGGACGAGGATCCGCCGCACTTTCCGCCCGCCCGCCCACTTGCGGCGCGGAGCCGCGGCCCGAGAACCGCGAGGCCACCCTCGCGCGCCGGCCCCCGCTTCGGCCCCGCCCGCCCGCGCCCGCCCGCGCCGGCCCCTTTTGTTCCCTCCCGGCGCCGCCGCTCGCTCGGCTCCGCTCGGCTCGGCGCGCTCGGCTCGGCCGCGGGGCGCGCAGGCGGCGCCGGGCCGCCTCGGTCAGCATCTCCTGCCTTCCCGCCGCTGGCCGCCCGGGCGGCGCGAGCCCGGCCGGAGTGCGAGCTGAGCCCGCGCGCCAGGAGGGGCTCCCGGTGGGCGGCGGCGAGCATCCTCCCTGGCGGCGCCCCGGCCCGGAGCGCAGGAGGCCGGCGCGGGCCGCCCGCCGCCCGCCCGTTGCTGGAGGGGCGAAGGTAGGAGCGGCCGAGGGGCCCCGGGGGAGGGGGTTCGCCGTGCAACAAAGGACCGAGGGCGGCGGGGGGCGGCGGCAGCCCCTGCCTGGGCAGAGGCGGACGGCCAGCCCGAGGCATTGTCGGGGCGCAGGAGAGCCGGGGGTCGCAGGCCGGCGGGTGGGCGTGGGAGGGAGCTGGTCCTGGGGTGCACCCCAACTTCCCCACCGCCTGCGGGCGAGGAAGGGGCGCTGCTGGCGTTGGGGACGCTTCCCGGGCAGCGCGTCCCTTGGTGAAGGCATCCTTACCAAGGCACCCTCGGTGCCGCCACACACGGGCGGGGGTTCAGCGCATCGGCTGGGGCCGCCTCACTCTCCTCCCCAGGGCAGGCGGCGCGGGGCGGCTGGACACGCCGCCAGGCTCGGGGCTCACAGGCCCGGAGGGCACAGCCTGGTGGGCGCGGCCACACAGCCGCCTTTTCTAGACCCGGGGTCTGGGAGAACACGGAGCATCCGCCAGCTGGGGTCGCCTCGCCGATGCCCTTTGCAAAACTTGGGTGAAGTGCATGGTGGAGGGGGCTGGAGGGAGACCGGGGCGGGGCGTCTTCCCGCAGGGGTGCCCCCCCAAGCTGGCGCTGGTGGCTGGTGAGGCAGCAGATTTTCTGCCCTCCCCACAGGGAGGGGCGGCGGCCGCCGAGGATGCTTCGCTGGGCCTCCAGGGCCCGCCCGTTTGGGCCCTTCAGGCTGGGCCTGGGCGGGGCCGGTGCCCACTGGGCACTGCCACGCAGGCCCCAGCTCCGCCCTGGGAAGGAGGGACAGAGGGAGCATCTTGGGGGGAGTCTCACACCCAGCGGTGCATCCCCCAATCTCTGAGACCCAGCCTCTGTCTTCTGGGTGAGAAGCGAATCCACTGGGGAGGGGGCCTCCTATTGTAAGATGCCCAAAGGAGGCTAGTGGGGGTGGGGCTGGCCTAGGGTGCAGATAGAGGAGGAGGGTGCGGGGAGCACCACGTGGGCCGCCTCAGCTTGTGTGTGCGCCTGACTCCCCACTAGTGTAATGTAAACAATGAGCCCTTCATTCATCCAGCTGCAGTCACCTGGCCCAGTGCTGCCAGGGTCTGGCAGGTACACAGAGGAGGGACCTCGCTACCCCAAGGAGCACAGCCCAACAGCCTTTGATGAGTGTGGTGGTGGGGGAGCTGGGAGCATGGAGGAGGGACACCTGAAGGATGGGCTGGAGCAGGAAGCTTGATAGAGCCCCCTGCAGCTTGCTGCCAGGATGCCAAAGGGGCTTGAGGCAGGGAAATAGCGTGGGCAGGCTCGGAGTCAGAAGAGGAGGCAGGAGGCCTGGTGGCTGTCAGGTTAGAGGAGCAGTGGTGGGCCTGGGGCAGAAGGCGGGGGAAGCTCTGCTGAGGGGAGGGATTTCTCTGTCCCTCCTGCTTCCTCAGGTGGGGCCCTTGGGCACCCTCCTGTGTGAGCCAGGATGCATTGGCGTCTGCAGCGCCTGGCCTAGGGGTCATGCTGGCGTGCAGGCTCTGGGACAGGTGGAGGTGGAGAGAGATGGAGAGGAGTTTCAAAGGCAGGAGAGCCTGGCAGAGGGGACCTGGGGGGAGCCTCAGTGCATGCGAGTGTGCACCTACAAGCCCCCAGGTGCAGCCAACAGGCTGGGAAGGCGGTGCCTGGAACGCTCCACCCAGAGCCAGAAATCCCAGGTGGGGATCCACCCACAGGTCCCCCATCCCTTTCCAGCATTTGTGGTCCACTTTGGCAGTTAAGAGTTAGGATGCTGGAGCCTGACAGCCTGCCACTTACTAGCTGTGTGACCTCAGACAAGTCACTACACCTCTCTCTGCCTCAATTTCCCCATCTATAGAGCAAGGATACTTATGGTATCTACCTTTCAGGGTAGCTGAGAGAATGGGGCAGGTGAGGGTGTGAAGTGTGTGCACTGTGACGGAGTGATTGTCCTGTGTTCGTTCCTGCTGCCGCGCGGGGTGGCCCTCCGGCCTCCCTGCACACACACTGGCTGCTCAGCTGTTCGTCCACCATCAGGTGGTCCTGCCTTTTAGCCCCGCCCAGGCCTGCAGTTCTCCGCCTCCCCACAGCCTCCGCCCTGGGCTGCTTCCTCTGCTCTGGGCTGTGATGTGGGGGACAGTGCCCTCCTGATCCACCCTGCCCCTGGATGCCATCTACGCTACCTTTGCTTCCGTGCCCAGAGGAGGGCAGCTGCATTCTCGGCCCTCTTGGTTCCCTGTAGTCTTAGCCCGGGCTGCCCTAATGAAATACTACAGACTAGGGGGCTTGTAGACAACAGACATTGATTTCCCACAGCTCTAGGGGCGGGAAGTCTGAGATCAGGATGCCAGCGTGCTCAGGTGAAGGCCTGGGTGGCAGACTTCTTGTGTCCTCACATGGCGGTAGGGTGTGGCGTCTCTTATCAGGGCACTAATCCCATTCTTGAGGGCTCCACCCTCTTGACCTAATCACCTCCCAAAGGCCCCACCTCCTGATACATCACATTGGGGGTTCAGTTTCAACAAGGGATTTGGGGGGACACAAACATTCAGACGGTGGCACCTGCTCAGTGTTTCTTGGGGAGAACATCAGCCTTTCTGTAGGTTTTATTTATTTTTAATTTTTATTTTTTTTAAAGATTTTTATTTTTTTCCTTTTTCTCCCCAAAGCCTCCCGGTACATAGTCGTATATTCTTCATTGTGGGTCCTTCTAGTTGTGGCATGTGGGACGCTGCCTCAGCGTGGTTTGATGAGCAGTGCCATGTCCGCGCCCAGGATTCGGACCAACGAAACACTGGGCCGCCTGCAGCGGAGTGCACAAACTTAACCACTCGGCCACGGGGCTAGCCCCTGTGTAGGTTTTAAATAACAACACGTGTTGAGTGCTTACTCTATGCCAGCAACTGTTTTGAGCTCTTTAAGTGGACGTGTTAGTCTGTGGATACCTTAAGAACAGTGCTTGCATTTCGCAGATGAGGCAGTCGAGGCATGGAGGGGGTTTCCCTGTTCCCCTGCATGCGTTTGTTAAGCATCTACTCTGCACCCGGGATGCAGGCCCCCTTCCACTGCTCCGTCCTCTTCGGTTCATAGAGCACAGTCTGGCCATGCCTTCCCCTGACACCTCCACCCCATTCGCTCAGGTACGAAGTCCACACACACTGTCCACCTCTCTGGGCCCCCCAGCCGGTCATGCCTTGGCTTCCCAGCACAGTTCCCGCTAGTCCCGCCGGCCGGGCCTCACCTCCTAGAAACTATGCGCGGTGGCCGTGGCTTGGCCAGCAGGCCTGCCCTTGAGTGGGAGGTGGGGGAGGGTTCTAACCCTGGCTTTGGGACGATTCTGTGCAGGGTACAGGAACCTCCTCCAAGTAGGTTAGGTGAACAGGGAGTTGAGAGGAGGGAAAGGGAGCTTGTGCAGCACACACTGCAGGCGGCGGCTCCCCCAGGGCCGGGAGGCTGGCAGGCACCCCTCCTCCAGCTTTCCTCTGTCTGGACTGCGCTTTTTACCTCAGCCTCTCCCTGAGCATCTGTCCCTTCTCCCCTCCCTGGAGGCCGGCTCTCTCTGGGTTGTCGGCATGGCTCCCCCAGGCAGTGGCTTCAGCTTGAGGCCCTGAGACCTCCCGTGGGTGCTCCCCTCAGTCTCAGGGTGCCAGGGAGACCAATGGGCCCTGTCTGGGTGAGGGCACCCACCCCGTCCCCTCAGCTGGTGGGGGCCAGGCCATGTGGTCACTGAGGGTGGGAGACGGTGCTGGGCACAGCTGGTACAGCGTTGGCTGCGTTTATGATGCGTGGTTTGTGCTGGGGGTGGCTGGGTGAGTGGGGGCATTGCCATCCTTGAGAGCTCACAGTCTGATGGGAGAGGCAGACCCACGGCCAGTTAACCATGGGGCCGCAGGATACGGCGCTTGGGTCTCCCCTGCTCAGCAGCACAGTTTGCTGGGAGAAACTGGGGTGTGCTGATCTGGCCGGTGCGGGTAGGACAGAATGGGACGATGGGGACGGGGCTCCCCAGCCCTGGCCCCCCTGCTCCCTTCTCTGGGCTGTGCTGCCAGGGTTGGCACACAGAAACCGTAATCCCAAACTCCTGTTTTCAGGGGAAATGCTTCACAATGATAATGAAATGTTTCCGTTCTCAGCAGAAAGCAGAGCACGTCAGGTGGTTTTTATTAACAAGACATAAATTTGGGGCCTTGTCCACTTAACGGCTTCCGTCTTCCCCGAGCAGCTCCTGCTCCGGCCCTGGCTTATCCCTCGGGCTCCAGCTGCGGCCCTGAAAGATGGTCACTCCTCGTCACTGCGCCTTTGCCCCCGTGGCCTCTTTGTCACAAGAAGGTGAAGAGGGTGGAATTTCAGGTTCACAAGGAGTGCCTGGGGGTCCAGCCTCCCCGCCCTGAGGAGGCTATTGTAGGGGTCCAGGGCCGGTCTGCTCCTGCCTGCACCCGGCCTGGCCCAGCTCCTCCCTGGCCCCGCTCTGACCAGCATGCAGCACTGAGGGTGGGAGTGAGTGATGGCTGGGCGTGGGGAGCACAGTGCCTTTGGTTTTCGGACCCTGCCTTCCAGAAGCTTGTACTGAGTTAGAGACACCAGCCCCCTTCCTGGAAGCGTAAACAGTATGGGTACCTACCTTTCAGAAACTGTTTGAGGCCAGAGTAGAAGAGATGCCTGGTTGCCTAATGGGGTCATTGCCCCGGCAAGGGGGGCATGTCATTCCAGGGGTCGCTCAGGGAGACAGGACCCGGGTGATGGGGTGGCCTGGGCTTCCTGAGGGAGTGGGACTGGGCTGTGTCTTGAAGGATGCTGGACTTTGGGTGGTTAAGGAGATCCTTCCTGGTGGACGCAAAGGGAGAAAAGTAACGGGGAAGTTTGGGCAGCAGGAAGGCGAGTGTCGGGCTGGGGGCTCAGCATGGAGCCACCATTCTTCCAAGTTGAATGTGAAATCGGGTGTCTGGTGTCCGACCTGTGATGAGGGATGGAGTAACGTTTGGTGTCTCGGGATTTCTTGCCATCTTCTATC